GTTTTAAATTTGTAAACATGAATAAATGCTTGAACTTGAAAACTTTCAATTAAACTTCACAGAACAGGTCACATGTAGTTTTAAGAGTTGCATCCTGTTGTGTGTTGAACATTGGGTTGATGGTCCATCTACGGAAAGATTTGTGATTATAATTTTAATGTTTATTAAGAATCCACTGCATGTTTCGTCCTTAATTGGCCATCTTCAGATGGTTCTCTTTAAATGTTCAAAACAACCAGATAATGACTACTACGTTGCATACAAAATACAAATTAGTATCCTAGCCCTGAAAAGTCCCATTTTTAAGGCATGAAATCTGTAAAAGGATACCCAGAATCCCCGAGGTTCAACACAGACAGTCATCTCATCTCAGTACAGACGCAATCAGATTCTCAACTCACTACTGGAGAATGTTGAAGGCCAAGCAAAGTACGTTCATCACCTCCAATCTGCTGTGGGACTTGGTCACATGTCCTAGAATAGCCATTAGTATTAATCCACATTTTCTTCAAATGAGGCGACATGCCGGTCTCTTTGCTCAACAGGCATGTGGCATAAATAAACATAATTACTGGGAGATACAGACAAGCTATATATTGACAAATATTAGCGGAACTTACGGCAGCTGTATGCTTGCGAGCACTAGATTTTTGTTGCACAGAGTGTGCAAATACTATATACATCAGTGACTGTTCCATAATTTCCAGTAATAATGCCAGCCTCCAATTAACAAATTGTGGAGTATATGCATACATGAAACTAGCAGCTATACAGATGCAGAATACTTTTCTGTTTCATCACTTACACACAGGAGTGACGAAAAATGTACTACAATGAAAAACACGCTTGAAGTAAATTTTAAACTGAAATTTCAAACAGACCAGTCATTCTGCTATGTATTATGAATAAGAATAACCTGCGGTTATTTTTCACTGGGTCGTAACAAGCTGCTGGTAAGAAATCCTTTGAAAATGTGGCAAAGTTCAAACTTAAAAAATGACTATTAAATCAGAACTGTATTCAGGACAAAATTACAGCTTCCTTGCTACCATGCAGCTGAAAGTTTTTTGTCTTTCCATTTGCTATCTAATAATGTGAAGATTACGTATACAAAATTACAATTTTACTGGTTGTCATGTACGGACGTGAAAGTTGTCTCTCAAACTACTGGGAGAACGCAGATTGAGGATGATCGGAAACCCGGCGATTAAGCGAATATCTGGACCTACAAGGAACGAAGCAGGAAGATCTACAAAACTGCACCAAATAATATTTGGAGAGTGTGAATTAGTGATAGTAACATACCGATAAGTCGCGTAAAGTTGGCAAAAAACGCTCTCTTATCTGTGGTTGCCCTTAAAATAAGTCTTACTGAAATGTTAGAAACGCTTAGGCGATTTGTTTCTAGCAGAGTGCCCGCAGTATTAGTGCAGGAGCATTAGACAAATGCTTGCATTTGTTATCAATGTTCATTTCCCCAAGGCTTATAAGCCTAATCATTAAACGTGTTGTTAAATACGATAGTAAAAATTATCTCTACAATCAACAGCATCCCAAAGACTCGAAACCAGGACAGTTTTGGGGGTCTGTGATCTTATTTTATGTAATTTCTTTACCCAAAAGAACAAATTTGACTTGGCGTCATCTTTTGCGTCCTGCATATGTTCTAAGCTAGAGAGACCAGCCCTGTCAGGACTCGAACCAAAGACAGTTTGTCTCTGTTGTGGCCTCTCGTTCTGTAATCTCCTCTTCAAAGCAAACAACCTTGGTCTTGGCACCGTTCTGTAGCATGCATGGGGCAAATGAAATGCACACAGAGTTGTAGTCTCAAAGCCTGAGTGGCCCAAAGCAGGTGTTAGGATGTGAATAAGGGAGTGTGATATGATAGTATGGGCTGGGCTCAAGTGACCCTGTGCAGGGACAAGTAGCAACGCTGAGAACGTCTGATTATTCATTCCATGTAGCCTCCACAAACCATTAACTTCCATAAATTAAGTTTAAAAATTCATACAATCATCGAAATCCAGCTTCTTCATTGTTAAAGGTAGAATAAGTGGCTAGTTGAAACGGGAGCTGAGATCGCAGACATGCACAAGGTCAATTGTCGCAGCTGTGACAATGGAAGAGTCTGGAAATTGCAAGAAGCGAAGTCGAGAAGCAGATGTTGGGTGCAGTGTTCGAGGCTCGCAGGGCTGGTCAGGATTTATGATGCAGCGTGTGTGATTGGTAATTGGGCAGATGTCATTCCAAAAACATTATATTTTCCACTACCTTGGCCAGAATTACTTTTGTCTCCTTTGATTTAAATAAACGTCAATGAAAGGATTGTGATATGGTTGTCTAGCAAAAGTTTACAATCAGCATGAGTTCATCATGGCTGCTGTGAGGTATTCCATTTATGCATATGGACATTGAACGACTTGTTTTACAAATGTCTTAATAATTCTCCATGAGTGTAACAAAACATGTAACGGTTAAAATGCGCACTAGTAATGTGGTCGCACCTTTGGAATAATGTGGAAGTTTAAATTTTGGGGCACCTGTAGCCCACAGAGCAAAACACGAATTCTGTACACCCCTAAAGCTTACATCATGGCAAATGTTTCCGTAATGGCAGCTTTTTGTGTTTCCAAGTTGGAGTTCTTGCCAGGGATTTCATGTAACCACCTGCCTCAGAAATGGCTATAACTTCCAGTTGCAACGTCAGTATAATCGTTTTCACATTCCATGCTGTATTTGAACCAGTAGGTCTTTCATTTAATACTTTATCTGCGTTGTATATTGCTTTTCTGTTGGTCGGTGCACTTGGTAACTCCGACTTGCATAAACTTGACGTTTCAATATTTGTGGTACCATACTTGTGGTTTAACCTTTTCGCATCATAGAAACTCAGCTTATAGTCAAAATGTTACACAGGGCCTCATATTTTGACAGATACTTTGGATTTCTAATATTGCTATCTAATTTTTTAATCCAAGTCTATTTTATTGAAATATTTGGCAGGTACTCCAAACCACCAAAAAAGAGTGCTCCTGCAAGTTTAATCTAATTTCTTATTTCCATATGTGCTTCAGAGGATTTCAGCTTTGAAAATGACCAGCTTCCTAATAATTTTTCTACAGATGACCTTGAAAAAATAACAGCTTGAGTGCAAAGTCTTCTTGCACAAATACTGTGCTCTGACTGTTGTTTCTTAATACTGTTCATATTTCGTAGTAGCATACTGAAATAACAAAACAAGGCAACCACGTTTATTGAATACAAACGTTTACAATTTAATTTTGTATACATCTTTCAGCCCCATGGGGCTGTTTTGTTACACTCTCTGTCTTTTATATGCCACTATCATCTTTCAGAGGAGGTAATTGGGGTACAGAATTCAGTCCCAGTTGATCGTCTAATCTCACTTCTCTGCTTCATTCTCGATCTGGTCCATAGTCTTGGGGGCCGAGTCACTCCTCCTTGGTATCCACTTGCCTTTCTAGAGGTCTGTTACATCTTGAATCATGAATCTCGTTTTGTTCGAGATGATATCCCTTTTCTGAGAGAGATCCTTCATCTTCCTGAACCAGTCAGACAGATTCTGCATAAGCACAGAAAATTCAAGTCACATTTCACAGGCAAAATGAACTTCTTACTCTTATCAGCCTACACATAAAACTACAGAATTCTGCACAATAGATGCAGTAAATCACACACAGTTGTCTGGTGACAGAACAAAGGTAGATACCAATTGCCTTTTGCATTTTACCCCATGCTCAAACTCAGCGTCTTCAAGCAGCCAGCAGACGGGCAAGCAGGATGGAAGGAAATGGAGGGGGTAAAAATAATTATTGATTATGCACAAAGTTAGAAGGAGGACAATAGATTATACAGCAGGAAAACTACAAATTAAAACTAAAATTATCTGAAAATTAACAGGAACGTACTTGGTCCTTGCTCTCCAAATCCTTTCCAACTGTCGTCAGAAGTTTCACACAGACACTCCAAGGACTGCTCATTTCCTTCCGAAAAAAGATGCTTTACACATCGCTACATTATGTTTGTTGCCAGCATCCCTAATTTGAAGACCTCGCCAATAAACCTGGAACATGACAAAATATATTTGTCTTGGGTAGAGTTGAGACGTTACGAACTTAAATAACAGAATAGAAATGAGGTACTTTGCATCTTCAAGTTACAGAAATATCTGTATCTTAAATTATAACTTTTATTTAAATAAATGGATTTAATCAGCCTTCTCTGTGTGGTATATATTATTGAGATGAAATATTATAGTTTTTACATATATTTCGGTTCGATTAATTTTCATAAGTTTTCACACGTTTAGTTCCTACGAAATGCATGTAATTTAGTTTTGGTTTTCTGTTTGTGTTGTTCTTGGAAAGAATTATTTTAAATGTTAGAAATTCTTTAAAATTTCAGGCACATCTTGGTAAGAAAACCTACCTCTTAAAGTGGAATATTCAATTACAAATGGATCTTTGACAATCATTGTCGCCATAGTAGCATTTTAGAGCCACAAGGAGGAGTTTCTTTGAATGTTTAATAGCCTTAAGAATGTCGCGACATGGAAGAATATACTTGTACCATCCAGCCTACAACATTCCTTGTTAATGGGGCACAGGCCCCTCTTGGTTATTAAAGGTTAAAGAATAAATAAACTGCTATCTTGTCACGTTGGGATTGACAATTATTTAAAATTATACCAAATTTAGAATGATCAGATATCAAATTAAGGTTTGCTCTTTCAGGTCTTGGCAAACCATCTTAATTTTGACACCACATTTAGCGTAAAAGACACGACTCACATACTGGAGGATAAAAGGGTATTAACATTTCAGATTTCCTCTGAGTGTCTCCTCTTAATTCACTACATTCAGATGTAATTTAGGAATCAAGCTTAGAGCTTCAAGTCACTGACAAAGATATCTCTTACCTAATATTTCCTACAGATTTAATTTGTTTCCTTTGCAGTTCCTCTTCAAAACTTCATTGTAGTTCCTTTTTCGGCCTGGAAAAAATATACAGGAGTAAAATACATTTTAGTTTGACTTCAATGCTGATTCAGAAAACCACTAAATAGGAAGCACTAATCATGAAGGTATCTGTAAGAGCCCTTCTTTTATGAAATAATTTCCACATATGTAAGTTTTCATTTTAATAGTTGCCTGAATCTTACTACTCCATGGATCGGTGTCCGAGTGGCTGATGATACTCGGCTGGCCAGGAAATCCTCTGCCTTTACGCCTCTAAATGTAACTGTGATACAAAATAACGTATCTTGAGCTAATGAGAAATCTTTTTCAAGGGAGGGGAAGTAGGAAAAATATCGAGTGTACGCGCAGCAGGAGTCCATTATTACAAGCGTTCACAGTGTTTGGAAAAAGTCATTAAATCACTCACTCGTTACAGGTGGTTAAACATATGGAAAGGTAAAAGTTTTTCCACATATTGATAAAATGTTACTTCATTATGCGTTGTCGATTATATGACAATAATTCTTATTAAATTTGTATGCAGTCAGTCAGTATAGTGACTAGCTACGGGCTGGACGACCGGGGTTCGATCCCCGATGGAGCAGAGGATTTTCCCTCTAGCCTCTGTGTCCAGACCGGCTCTGGGGCCCACCCAGCCTCCTCTACAATGGGTACCGGGGTCCTTTCCCGGGGGTAAAGCCGGCCGGGGCGTGATGCTGACCACTCACCCCCATCTAGTGCCGAGGTCAAGAAAGGGAGGAGCTATACCTCCTCTCACCCCAAACGCCTACATGGCGTATAGTGGGACAAACTTTACTTTACTTTTTAGTTGATTGACAAAAAACATTAAGTGAGCTTAACAACTGTGGCAGTCTGCGCTTCGAATATGTTAGTGTGAAAAGTGTAAAAATATGACCTCTCTATTTTATATTATGACAACATACAAAGTCAAGATACAGAGTAAGTGATTATTTGACTGTTATTTTGCTATGTTGCTTGATGATTGAGTTATTCCCCAATCAGTGGGCAAAAAAAGTAGTAATATATTTGACCACAGTCAAAGACATTTAGAGGAGAACTGACTGGGTCTGCTGTTTCCTGATCTCTTTCAGTCTGGCTTCTCGATTTATT